GAGTCATTAGATATATTAAAAAAAATAATAAATGTATATAAAAAAAATCTCCAGCTGTGTCTTATGGAGGAGGAGCTAGAAACCACCTACACAGCCATTTAAAATATCTGTGTACATAAGACGGGGCAAAAGTAGGTTTACAGTTGTGACTTAGAAAAACACGAGTTTCTTCTTATATTCTTAATTATTTATTGATTTTTTAAAAATTGCAAAGGCATTTTTTAAAATATATTTTATTGATTTTTTTTTTACAGAGAAGAAGGTAAAGGGATAGAAAGTTAGAAACATCGATCAGCTGTCTCCTGCACACACCCCACTGGGGATGTGCCCGCAACCAAGGTACATGCCCTTGACTGGAATCGAACCTGGGACCCCTCAGTCTGTAAGCCAATGGACCCTTCAGTCTGCAGGCTGACGCTCTATCCACTGAGCCAAACCGGTTAGGGCACAGTGAAGTATTTTTAATGAAGTTATATAGAGGTTTTTGGGGGGGACAGTCATTTCATTGTTATTAGCCTGCAGTATAGTATTAACATATCTTTATTGTTCATTGGGAACTTCAACTATTTGTTTGAATTTCTGTCCATATCGAAATATTCACTTTATTGTGCTGATCATAACAGAATCCACAATATCTCCCAACGATTCCTTCATATTATTTGCGAGTATTTTCTCCCATCCTCTAGATTGCCTTTCATTTCATTTTGTTTATTGTTGTGCTGTGAGGAAGCTTTTTTCTTTATTTGTTGCAGTCTGGACTGTTTTTCTCTATTTAGTCAGGTGATTTGTGTCACATCCAGAAAATCCCGTCCAAAACAAACCTCCAAAACTTTTTCTCTAGATTGTCTTGAAAGAGTTTTAAGTTGTAGCGCTGCCATTTAATTCTCTAATGCAGGTTAAGTTAAATTTTATCTGTGAGGGCCAGTTTTGTTGTTTTACATGTGAATATCAATTTTTAGTAGAACCAGTCATTGAAGAAACCATCTGTCTCTTCTTCTGTGTCTTGCAGCTTTGTCAAAGATGACTTGAAAGTATGTGCTTGGGTTTCTTCTGTTTTTTGTCCTGTATTTTTTATCTATGTTTCTGTGTTTCTCCAATAATACATTGTTTCCTTGTTTTCTCTTTGTAATAAATTGGTGCCGCCAGCTTTGTTCTTGCTCAAGATTGCTTTTTTTAGTGGAAGTCTTTTGGTTCCATACATTTCAAGATTCCCTTTTCATTTATTTGTAAAATACCATTGGAGTTATCATGGGGATTGCATTTAATCTGTAGATAGCTTTGTGTATTATAGATATCGTCACGCTATTTCTTTTTCAAATTCATAAACACAGGAAGTCTTTCAACTTATTTGTGTTTTCTTCCATTCCTTTCATCACTGTATCATAGTGTTTAATGTACAGATGTTTCACCTTTTGGTCGAATTTATTCCTTTTTTTTTATGCTTTTGTAAATTTGACGACCTTCACTTTTTTAATATATATATATATTTTTATTGGTTTTTTACAGAGAGGAAAGGAGAGAGATAGAGAGTCAGAAACATCGATGAGAGAGAAACATCGACAAGCTGCCTCCTGCACATCTCCTACTGGGGATGTGCCCGCAACCTAGGTACATGCCCTTGACCAGAATCAAACCCAGGACCTTTCAGTCCGCAGGCCGACGAACTATTCACTGAGCCAATCCGGTTTCGGCGACCTTCACTTTTCTTTTCTTTTTTTTTTAAAATATATTTTTTTAATTGATTTTTTACAGAGAAGAAGGGAGAGGGATAGAGAGTTAGAAACATCGATGAGGGAGATCGATCAGCTGCCTCCTGCACGCCCCCCAGTGGGGATGTGCCCACAACCAAGATACATGCCCTTGAGCGGAATCGAACCTGGGACCCTTCAGTCCGCAGGCGCAGGCTGATGCTCTGTCCACTGAGCCAAACCGGTTAGGCGACCTTCACTTTTCTATCGAAGAATTTATTGTTAGTGTGTGGAAATGGAACTAATGTTTGTACGTTTATTTTTCATCCTGTAACTTTTCTGAATTTAGTTCTTTATTCTTCTTTCATCTTCACCCTTGTAGTCTGAATATTTTTCCCATTTATTTTCTTTTAGAGTGAGAAAAATGAGAGAGAGCCAGCGAGAGAGAAACATCGATTGGTGGCCTTCCACATGTGCCCCTACTGGTAGCGGTATCAGACCTGCAACCAAGGTACCTGCCCTTGACTGGGAATCTAAACCATGACCCTCCAGTGCACAGGCTGGCACTCTCACCACTGAGCAACACAGGCCAAGATTATTTATTTATTTTATAAATTATATTAAACATATATTTTTATTGATTTTAGAGCAGCAGAGTACGAGAGAGAGACTGAAATATCAGTGATGAGAGTCATTGATGGGCTGCCTCCTGTGTGACCCACACTGGTGACTGAGCCCGCAACCTGTGCATGTGCCCAGACAGGGAATTGAATTGTGAGCTCCTTAGTTCATGGGTCGATGCTCAATCACTGAGCCATACTAGCCATCCTTTATTTATTGATTTGGGAGACAGAGAAAGAGAGAGACGGGAACATCAATCTGCTATTCTACCCATCTATGCATTCACTGGCTCCCCCCTGCATGTGCCCTGATGGGGGATCAAACCCACAACCTTAATGCATGGGGACCACACACTCACCAACTGATCCACCTGGCCGGGCCTCTGAATTTGTTTCAGAAGCTCATAGTGGCTTCTTTTTTTTTTAATCTTTAATTTCTTTATTGGTTAAGGTATTACAAGTGTGTCCTCATCCCCCACAATTAACCCCCAACCTCCTCCCCCCCCACTCATGCTTTCATCCCCCTGTTGTCCATGTTCATTGGTTTGGCTTATATGCGTGCATACAAGTCCTTTGGTTGATCTCTTCCCCTTACCCCCACCCTCCCCTACTTTCCCTCTGGAGATTGATAGTCTGATCGCTGTTTCTCTGTCTTTGGATCTGTCCCTATTCATCAGTCTATGTTGTTCTCTATATTCCACAAATGAGTGAGATCATGTGGTATTTATCTTTTCCCTAACTGGCTTAATGCTCTCCAGTTCCATCCATACTGTTGCAAATGGCAAGAGTTCCTTCTTTTTTTACCGCAGCATAGTATTCCGTTGTGTAGATGTACCACAGTTTTTAATCCACTCATCTGCTGATGG